CTACCCAAGGATGGGGTGCGCGGGGTGACAGAGTTAGTCCACGGTCCTTGGTATATATTCCATATTCCCCAGTGCAATGGAGGGAAAACATCGGGCTCAGAGGAGGGAGATCATGAGGGGGAGGGTGTATTTACGTGAGGCCTGTGGATCGCTTGACACCTGCCAGGAAGGCGGAGACTGGAGTTTGGGATTAGTTTGGACTCTGGGTATGCAGTATGTAGACACCACTTACAGAGGACCGCATCGAATGCGTAGTGGGTGAGACGGCCGAACTAGGTAGCAATAAAGAGTCGGAGTCAGTCATGCTTCATGCTTCATGCTTCATGCTTCATGCCCAAGTGGATCGGGAACCTCGGCTGCCTGAGATAGACCAGCAGGGATTTCTCACCATGTTCAAAGAGTAATAAAGATCAATTCTGTGGAAGTGGAGCAATTTGACCGTCACCCAGAGCCTGGAAATACACGGGAAGAAGTGATCCAAGCTGTCATGGGGATGGGCATAATCCAATACGGTCACGTGAAGATTCACATGACGTCTATCAAGTGCGGCTGGAGTGAGGCTGGTGCTTGTGCTGACATAATAATCAACGGTGGCGGGGTGATTGCTACCCCCCCAGGACGCTAATCCGATTTCGGTCGATAAGCTCTCCCACCGAGAACCGTTTTGGCTCGATCAATTAAGTGCCTGTATTTGTCACGTTTATTCGATAGAGGTCTGGAGGGGACTCCAATGTACTGCGCGAAAGACAGCACGGGGCACTCCGTCCTCCGCTTTTTTGCGGTCTGAAGTGTCCAAGTATAATTTTTTTTTCTGCCTAAACGGGCATTCCGCCCGCTGCCGACCTCCACACGTCTTTCGGTGTAGAGCTATAGATAATTGGGAAGAGGAAAAAGTACAGAATAGACCAAGAAAACGTGTGAATTGATAGGGTAGATTACGGTCCAAGACCACTAGTAGAGACAAAAGCAGAATTGGGATGCGGCCGGAGATGTTCACACCGGCGGCCAACATTTTCCCTCCCGCCCCTCACCCAACTTCCGTTTTCTCTTCCCCTCTCATCCTTTTCTCTCCATCCTTTCTGATCCTCAATTTGATCAGCTCTCACCTTTCCCCTTTCTCCTAAAAGAACTTCTTGTTCATCACATCAAAATGGCGGCCACCAGCTCCCTCGACCACCTGAGCAACCGCATGAAGCTGGAGTGGCACTCCAAGCTTAACACCGAGATGGTGCCTGCGAAGAACTTCCGCCGTACCTCCATCATCGGTACCATTGGTATGTCATTCTGTCAACCCACTTTACAATTCCAGCCTGTGGAAGAAAATATCCTGGACAAGAATACCCCGCTGACAGACAATCGATAACAGGTCCCAAGACAAATTCGGCCGAGAAGATCAATGCTCTCCGCACAGGTACGGCAACACTTTTTCTGATGGGGTAAAGTTGTTTAGAAGGGGTAAACTGACTCGGTCACAGTTGGTCTCAACGTCGTTCGCATGAACTTCTCCCACGGTTCATACGAGGTCAGTATCTGCAATTCAATGTGCTTATCGGAATTTGCTGACATGTCCGCAGTACCACCAATCTGTCATTGACAACTCCCGTGAGGCCGCCCGTCTCCAGACTGGCCGTCCTCTCGCCATTGCCCTCGACACTAAGGGCCCCGAGATCCGTACCGGTAACACCGTCGGTGACCAGGATTTCCCCATCAAGGAAGGCACCATCCTCAACATCACCACCGATGAGGCATACGCCACCGCCAGTGACGATAAGAACATGTAAGATTCCCTCCTTTGATGACAGATTGGTTTCGACTTTTGGCATAGCTGGACTCGATATTCTTTGCTTCGGTGTGTGGCGTGGACTGACAAGAGACGATAGGTACCTTGACTACAAGAACATCACCAAGGTGATCTCTGTTGGCAAGCTCATCTATGTCGACGACGGTATCCTGTCCTTCGAGGTGATCGAGATTGTTGATGAGCAGACCCTGAAGGTCAAGTGTCTGAACAACGGCAACATCTCCTCCCGCAAGGGTGTCAACCTCCCCGGCACTGACGTAGACCTCCCCGCTCTGTCGGAGAAGGACATTGCCGATCTCCGGTTCGGTGTTAAGAACAATGTTGACATGGTCTTTGCCTCATTTATCCGTCGCGGCAGCGACATCAAGCACATCCGCGAGATCCTCGGCGAGGAGGGCAAGGAGATCCAGATCATTGCCAAGATTGAGAACCAACAGGGTGTCAACAACTTCGATGAGATTCTTGAGGAGACCGACGGTGTCATGGTCGCCCGTGGTGACCTTGGTATCGAGATCCCCGCCCCCAAGGTGTTCATCGCGCAGAAGATGATGATCGCCAAGTGCAACATCAAGGGCAAGCCCGTCATCTGTGCCACCCAGATGCTTGAGTCCATGACATACAACCCCCGCCCCACTCGTGCTGAGGTTTCCGATGTTGCCAACGCCGTTCTCGACGGTGCTGACTGTGTCATGCTGTCTGGTGAGACCGCCAAGGGTAACTACCCTTGCGAGGCCGTCAAGATGATGTCCGAGACTTGTCTGTTGGCCGAGGTCGCCATCCCTCACTTCAACGTGTTCGATGAGCTCCGCAACCTCGCTCCCCGCCCCACTGACACCTCCGAGTCCATTGCCATGGCTGCCGTCAGTGCCAGTCTGGAGTTGAACGCTGGTGCCATTGTTGTCCTGACCACCAGGTAAGTCCCGCAATCAAATCATCCATGAAATGATACTGACAAGATCACAGCGGCAAAACTGCCCGCCTTCTGTCCAAGTACCGCCCCGTCTGCCCCATTCTGATGGTCACCCGTAACGCCACCGCTTCCCGCGTAAGTTGGAATCGAATAGTCGAGTGTCGTTCTCTGCTGACAAGTCTTCCAGTACTCCCACCTGTACCGCGGTGTCTGGCCCTTCTACTTCCCCGAGACCAAGCCCGACTTCAACGTCAAGATCTGGCAGGAGGATGTCGACCGCCGTCTCAAGTGGGCCATCAACCACGGTCTCAAGCTCGGCATCGTGAACAAGGGCGACCCCATCGTCTGTGTCCAGGGATGGCGCGGCGGTATGGGCCACACCAACACCGTTCGTGTTGTGCCCGCCGAGGAGAACCTTGGCCTGTCCATGGAGTAAAGAGTAAAATCATCTATTTGATGGTAAGCTTTATGATCCGTTCTTTGTTTACCGCCGGTGTGCGGATGGGATACATACCTCTTTTCTTGTTTCGAAGCCAAGTTTCTTCTTCGCTGTGGTCTGGACCATGGCTCGTCCTTTGGAAGGTTAATGCATTGCTCATGTAAATGAAACGAATTTCAATGTTCTCAAGTTTTCAATGTTCTCCGATTAGTAGATTTGTTAGTAGTGTCCTGGTTAGTGAAGTCTGACGGTTTGAATAGACCTTTATCTGATCTGATCTGTCCGAGTATCCGTAGAGTCCTCGCGCAATCTGTCGCAATCTGTCGCGTGCCGAAAGTCTGCAGCGCAGAGATACTGTATCCAGCACAGGATCTCACACCAATCTCACCGAAGCGCATCTGCACTCAAACCCAAGAATTAAACAAAGAAAAGGAAAAGAACAGAAGCGAAAACTCGACGAAAACCAAAATGCGGGGACCCGAAAGTGGCATGCTGTTCTGACCGAGGCCCATTAACCCGAGGATGTGACGATCTCACCCGACACCCTGCAGCGCACATTCGGATCCCCCCTGGTGAACGTGTGTGTATATGCGCTTGTTGCGAATTCAAGAGTTGAGAGTTGAGAAAAAGATAAAAAAGGAAATTACCAGCAGAAGAGCTCTTTTCCAATGGCTAAATGCATTTCCCGAATATCCCGTGCCGCGTCCCGGTTTTTGCCGATGGCTCCATGGGAGGTAATTATGGACTGGGTTTGTGTGATCGGGGGAGAATATACTAAAAACGTTAGCTTCATAATAACTTATAGTTTGGGTGAATAAAGATCAAAGAAAAATTTCCAGTGGAAAGTGATGGTCGATAAATGGAGATAAGTTACGGAGAGTCTACAGTGTATATGATAGTAAGTGTGCACACCGTTGTTGCTATACAGTATATACATATTCAAGCAACTCGATTTTGTATCAAAGAATCAATATTCCATGAATATATTAGCGGCGCCTCGATTAAGTACTGACAGTTCTTTATTTTTGACGCTTTTAGGTGTTGTCGGCAGGGCTTAGGGGTTTTAGGTCGTAATCTAGGGTACCGTTGAAGAAGGCGACACCCCAGAGCAGAGCGGTGACTATTAACAAGTTTGCGGAGACTATGTTCCAAGCATGGGATATAGATGCTGATATATATGTCTTGGAAAGAAGTGAGAATGCTGTTACATGTACATATTGTATTTAGATTACAGGCACTCAATTCGCATCTCAAGTATCGTCAACTATGGGATTTATATAGGGAAAAATCACAAAGACCCCCATAGAATGTTATTCGGACCCCTCTCCACTTGTCGAACCATAATTGACAAGGCATTGTAGTTGTATTTCACCGAGCATTATTACTTAGATACTGCTTCAACCGTTGAATATGTACATGTATACCTTGAATTGACGTATCGAATGGTGGGAGCGCGGAACTTGTATAGCTGCAAAAGGCTTTCTTGCAAACCCCATTTCTTTGGATAGTTTAGACTGAGTGGTAAAAAGGACATGCGATTCAAATTGGCTAGGAGAATGCTAATATTCGAAGGAATGTCATATGCATATATTCATGCAAGAGTAAGATAGATCTAAACAAACAAATGACCCACTGCGCCGCTTCATGTGGATTCGCTCGTACATCAGATATGATGTGGGTGCGAAGATAGTTAAAAACAAGGTCGTCTGTGCAGAGGTATTGTGACGTGCACATGGCATAGCGCATTGCTAAACAGACATGTCAAATGTCCAAAAAGCAGATCTGGACATGGATGCATCATCAAGTCATAAGTCATTATTGTATGGTTGACAAAACCGGAATCGATAGCACTAGAAACCGGGGTCTTCCAAGAAGCCATCGTCAATTTCGGCTTCCGTGGCTTGGTTCTCGCCCTGTGCATATCGATACATCGAATTTGGTTGTAATTGGTGCCAGCAGCTAGAAGAGTCAGTGTTTTACTATAGAAGAGAAGAGAACGGGGTGACATACCTTGGAGCTTGGAGTACGTATCGGGCCATCGCCTCACGGAAACGACCCTTGTATTCCCTAGGACTGGTGACTGTTGGTCGATTGCGGCCACCGCCACCGAATCCCTTATCCTTAATCCAGGACTCGAGCTTTTTGTCCCAGGTGTAGGTACGGATGCAGTCGATGATTCCGACCACCAGCTCGTCGCGGCTTTCGTCAATGGCAATCATGAGCGAGTAGTCCATGACGTCTTGGCGACCCAGGAAGAGAGTGTCATTCCACACACTTTGGCCGAGAAGTTTCTTCGAATGCTCACGGGCGAAAAGGGGTGTCTCATAAATGAAGTCCACCATGTTTTCGTCCAAAAGGACCTCATCCCGTTCACCGGTGCTTTGCACTTTGCGGTTTCGCATGGAGCCCTTGAGATCGAAGATACGGGTAGGAACGCGATCGTAGAACAGGTTCTCCATCAGAAGCAAGAACCAGTTGAACTCTGTTCCGGTAGCGGGGTTCTTGATGATGACCTGGTAGAAGCCAAACATCTTGGCGATCGCAGATGGCAATTCATGGAACAACGCCTCGGACATGATTTGGAAGTATGCTGGAGCAAACTTGAGGAAGGCCTGTGTTTCAATTGGCGACAGTGATTTGAGAATGAAACGATCGTCAAGAGTCTTCAAGAATAACGACTTGGTCTTGCCGCCCTTTGAGTCCCATTTTGCGCATCGGGACAACGATTCGACGATTCGATCCGCCACGCCACACTTCTTGCGCAGTGCATCGAATTGTTCCGCATAGAACACCTTGCACAGCATCTTGGCTTGACCTTCTTGGAATTGGTACTTGAGGTGAGTGCCCGTGGGTCGCAAGAGAGCATGCTCGACGCGTGCTTCTTTCGCGGCCTCGATATCACTCTTGGGCTCTGGTTGATGTTCCTCCATCTCGTCATACCGTTGCTGAATGCTTGAAAGCTTTTCTTTGTAGTCAGAGGAGTCCAACGCAAACGCCACCAGAGAACTCGGCTCATCCTCGCGCACAATGATATCACAATCGGCAAAAACGTGATCCATAACACTGAGGGGATAATCAAGGGATGCCCATCCACTCGCAGAGCGCTCAGACCAGAAGTTCGTCAGCATCTTCACAAGTGTAGTACGCTCATGCTTGGGCATATCCTTGAAATCAATTGACTCGTCTTCTGCCAAGTTTTTGGTTTCTTCGTGCGAATCTACCGGATGAAGATCCTCAGTCGTGGTTCGATCTTCATCACTTTGGCCTTCGTCTGGTTCGGCATCAGAAAACAGCTGGGTATCAGGACGGTGATCCGGTCCTGCCTCGTTAGGCTCAGTGGGTGAGTCTTTTGGCAAGGGATGTTGATGGTGCTCTTCACGAGGTCTCTCATTGACGAGTTCGTCACTTTGACGGCCCAAGTCGTCCATTAGGATCCGCGGGGCAGACGGCGGAGATTCCTCGCCGTCAACTGGAGGCTCGCGTTCTTCCACAGCCTCTCTTACATTCCGATAGACTTCCACAATGGGCTTCGAGGACGCCAACGGGAATGCACGTGAGTAAGTGCCTCGGGCAGCTCGCTGACGTCTCTCTCGCTGTCTTTCTTTCTCGAATTCTCGACTCAGCTGTTCAAAATGTCTAGCAAGATTGGAGACCTGGGAGCTTCCCCTCTTTCCTGGAGTAGACCGTGGGATAAGAGAGTGACCGGAAGCAAACCGAGTACTTTTGAGGGCACTCAAGCCCAAACGGTCGCTCAGCTTCTTGTCCGACTTGGGGGACTCGCTTCCAGATTTATCAAGATCAACTGGGTTAGTGGTTGCTATTTTCAAGCTTGGAAGCGCAATGCTGCTGATAGTCCTGTCCCTCGGAATATTCGCTGGTTGGGATTGAGCGCGCAAAAGGGGAGGAGACCGTGCTTTACCAGAGCGTCGAAAGGCTGCTTCGGTAGGGCGGGGAATCGCCGAAGGTCGACGTATTGGGGTACTTGGAAAAGTGATTCCGCCATCTTCTTTCCCGCTGTCCTTCCCTTCCTTCAGGAACACAGAAGTTTTCGGTGATATCGAATCTGACGATCCATCGGTGGAGTCCACCGCAGGGAAATTGGGGTCGGGCAACGTTTGATTCGAACTGAGATCCGTGTCGACAGGACCACGTTCTAGTTGACCTGAAGGTACGGCCAAGTCAAGATGGCGGACTTCCTCTTGCGACACAGCTTCATCTTGAGGGGAAGACCTTTTCTCATTGTCTGCATCAACTGACACCCCCTCTTCGACTGATGCTGAATGAGAGGGGAGCTCAATTTCCGAGAATTCCTCGCGGTGCTTTTTGCCAGCGTGTTCTTCAACGACTGAGACCAGTACATTCTGTGCCTTTTCTGGGGAAAGGGTCATGCGCCTCATCATCCGTGGCCTATCGACTTCTTCCTCGTTCTCATCATCTGCGTCGTTTGGGGCTCGCAAGGGGTCTTCTGGGGAGACTGATGTGGCATCCTTGTCAAGGAAAATCTTTTTGAGCTGTAGCGTTGCCATATGCTTGATATCTTTCTCAGAGGGGAAAAAGTTATTCTCGAAATCAGCAAAGGTGGTGTCCCATTCAACAACCTTTTCTTGCACTGCACGGAGCACCTCATTCAGAGGTATGATCTCCCAGTAGCGAGAACTTGTGTATTTGTCTTGCAGGTGCCGGATCAGAGAATTGTGATCTTCATGACCCTTCTTAGTCAAAGATTCAATCTTTTTCTTGCAGCTGTCTACCAACTCAGGAACAACACTGTCGACATTAATGCCTTTCAAACGAGCTTGAACAGATGCCATGAAGTTTTTGATGCGCTGCTCGGTGCGCAGATAGACTTCGTTTCTCAACTTCAAGTCATTGTCCACCTTCCAAGTAACACGAGGGCGAGGAACGATGATCTCAAGGAGACGAATGGGATCATACTGTACTCGCAGAGCAACGTCTTTGAAGCCGAAATAGCGGATATGATCCCGCTGCAGATCATGGGGGCAAACCCCAGCACGAGCATGCAGATTTCTACCCCAAAAGGATAGCTCTAAGTATTTTCCGAAAGAGTACTTCCATGTGTTCTCCGACATTGGACTCACTTGGGTTTCATTGCCGCATATCTTGCAACAACTCCACATCAACACGATATCCTGAAGACCAGGCAATTTGGATGGGTAGGGCTGAACCAGCACGCTGATTTGCGCATCACCATGCACATACTGACGGTGATGCTCAAACATACGTTTCTCGCAGCCATTAACAGTGCAAACTGCATTGGCTGAGTGGCACAGGTCTTCAACATACTGCCCAATTGTGAGGTCGGACTCGAAAATAACGTCATCGCCATGCTCATTGTAGAATTCTAGAGCAAAGACGTCCGGTCCAGAGCAAGGCACTGATGTTGTTGTGCAGACGAGGCTGTAGAGAACGACAAGGTTCTGATGTGAATAGGGATCGAACATGTTGGGGTTTCCCGAGACGTAGGCCTCCCATTGGCGCTTTTGGGTTTGATAGTGATACAGCGCTCGGTCATATTCCGCATCATGAGCAGCACGCAGCACTTCCTTGACTTTTGCTGGGGCGTCTTGCGGTGATTGATGCACCATTTCTGGGGTGATGAGAACGAACTTCTGCTGCTTCGCCTTCTCATCTGTGAGTTCGTCAGAGTCGCCGTCGTGATCACGGAGACGTTTCAGATAGGCGAGTCTGCGTTCCATTTCCCGCGTACGCATCAGAAGATACGGAGGTTCAAATTTGACGAAAGGCGAAGCAGAGAGAATCTTGGTCTGGTGATCTTGGACCATATCGTCATAGTACGTCGGCATTGGAATATCGTCTGGGACATCCGTGGCATCAGGTGCCACAAGGATTTGACTATCAGAGATGTCGCCAGTGTTCTCGCTAGTTCCGTGCTGAGTCTCGCTCTCATTGGCGGCCTGTGATATGATTTTCTTGTCCTTATTAGCTGCCACCTGCGATTCTGTCGGCGAGGTTGGTATCTGTGCAAATTCATCTCGCATAACATATGTTTCCAATCGAAGGTTATAGACAACGTAGATCATGAACTCAGTGATCCTCTTCACTTTTCCAAGAACTTCCTCATCATCGCCGCGCAGGACAATGGTGCAACCGAGTTCTTTCGGACAGCCAGAGATATACATGTAGGTCTTCTTTCGACCACTATGAACATAGGTCTTCACGTCAAAGCTGCTGCAATCACTATGCAAAGTGGTTGTCAAGAGCTTATCCATGGATGTCACAATCCTAGTCTGCGTACATCTCGATACGGCCTCCAGAACAGATGGCTTCACATTATACGCAGTTGCAATACCAGCTTTCTCGAGAAGTTCGAGCGCTAGGCCAGAAACATTCTTTTCGACCAAAAGCAAATTTGGGTGCAATGCTGCGATTCGACTGGCCAGGTTCTCCAAGAATTCACGCTCTTGCCTGATAACAGGCTCGAGACTCATGAAATGTTGTTGCTGACGGGCATATTCGAGAGGGAATGTGATGATCAAGATGTTTGGACTTGGGATGCTTCTTGGCATGCTCTTCAAAGCCAAGTTTTTGGTAAAGACGAGACCGGATACGTAGGCAGTATCCCCAGGCCGGCCACCGGGAATTTTCTTCAATTTGACGTAGTGACGGATATCCATATCATCCCCTCGTTGGACGTCTGGATCGACTTCATCTGCTGCTTTCAATAATATTGGTATCAGGGCATTCTCCCAACTATCACCGCTAGGAATAGCGGACTCCACAAGAAGTTGACGCAGAAGCTTTCGTACATGTTCTAGGCTCGCTCTGTTCAACTCAACCGGCGGTGCTCCATGGCCTCTCATTGACGAGCTCCGGGTCATCTTAAACCCAGCATGGTTAAGATTAATGGGCAAAGGAACCGTTGGCAAAGAGACGTCATGAAGCATGTCCTTTGATGTCCTGGGTGAATGGCGGTGCATGCTGCTTGCAACGCTCAGGTTCCGACGACGAGATGAACGGGGTAGGTTCACAGCTCTTGAGCTAGTGATACTGGCTTCGTCGGGGTCTCTATTCATACTAGGAGTACTTCGGTCTCCAAAAGCAGATCTGCCCTTTTTCAAAGAGGCTAGCAGCCCGCCAAAAGAGGCTCTCTCGCCATCACCTCCACTTTTGGACAAAGCGCCCTCAGAGACTGCAGACAAAAGGCTAGGTTGTTCATCGCCGCTTGATGCATCATCAGAAAGATATTGAGCCAGATCAGGGTCAATGATGTTATCTTTGTGAAAAGCAGGCAGCCGGGATTCAAAGCCTGTGTCATCTGCATGTCGGCGTTGAAAAGGCGCTCGGTCTTCATGTGTCTTGAAACCCCGAATGTACTGCTGACGAGAATGATGTCGTTTGTGACTCATGGAATGCGGTCTTGTACCGAGCGAGGACCGCAATGACCGTGAAGAAGTAGGTCGTGCCAGCGGGCGATCAGGGTTGATTTCGAGGACCGCCGAGCGGCGATTGTGGCCCTCGCCAGCGCGCCGTGTAGCTGGTATGGCCATTGTTGGAGTTCTGAGAACATGATCAATTGACTGGGATATGATAGAGGATGAATCATCGTCATCTGCTGATGCCCGTGTGTTATTCCCCCAGCCGAGTTCAGCAACCCGCGAGTTGGAAACTATGGGGCTTTGCTCACTATCTGAGAACTCGGAAGAATCATCATCATGGGCATTGATCATTTTCTCGCAAGGGTTGCAAACTCGGATGCTTCCAGGCTGGCCAAACCGCGCTCCCGAAATGAGCAAAGTACATTTTGAATCAAAGATTTGACCACAGGTTCGACAATGGTGTTTTCGACGAAATGTGGTAAAGGGATCGCCACAGTGGAAGCAGTCTTTGGCATTCTCATCGCGCATCCAGTAGTCTCTGCTAAGCAACTTACTTCTTAACTGAGACAACACACCATCGCCTCCGGCGGTCAGTTGACGGTTGGGCTGCGAGTGTTGACTAGCAGCCTGACCAATTTTGGTTTTCAACGGAGGCAAAGAAGAAATCGTGGTCATGGTCCCTGCTGTGGTGGTTCGTGACATATCATAACCAGGTAGTCGCCCAGCTCGGGTTGGGATTTTTTTATCCCTGAGTTGATCGGGGAGAATGATCTTGTGCGGCTCATTGGCACCCGCACCTTCACGAGAGCCAGTCGCTGCCTTGGTGGAAGGTTTATCTGGGTGGTATGTAGCCTCATCACGGGATGAAAGTCTTGAAAGGCTAGTCGAGGCAGATATTGAAGCTCGCGGCTCGTCATAACGAGAAGATGCTCGCGAGTCCGATCTGTCTCCCAAACGCTGAGACACACGATCCTGGATTGACTCAGTTTGCTTACAACTTCGGAGCATGGCAGTCTGGGGCGCGTTTTCAGGCGGTCTTTGTGAATCAGCAGAGACTGATTTTCGAGACTGGTTGTCGGGAATGTGGGTGGCCAAGATATGTAATTCTTTGGGGTTCGATTGACCCTGGTCCTCATGGCTGTCATGCATCTTTCCAGATAGCACCGGCGAATTGGAGAGGTTCTGGCTCAACAAAGATGAAGTTTGACTCATGGAAAGATCGACGGCGCCATCCTTACTACCAATACTTGCAGATTCTGCACCGTGAACTCCTTGGAATGGGGCTTGGGACGGGACATTGATGGAGCTACTTCTTGAGTGATTGGGTTCTCCAATAACGTTGACATGTCGCTGGTTGACTGTTGGTTCTGCGGCGACAGCGGTTCCGGTGGCTTTCGTCAACGGTGCGATGCCGGGCTTGATCCCTGGGGACGGTGGAATGGATGTCTTTGAAGATACGCTGCCACTCTTGGAGGATATTCGGGATCTTCTTCCCGTGGTTGTCGGTTGCGCGGGATCCTGCTGAGACTGAAAATTCGCTACAACAGGCGATTGAAGCCTTGAACCTTGCAAAGAGGGAGGCTGTGACGGTAGGTGATCAGCCGAGCTACCGGCTGGGTCTGAGACCTGTTTGACCAGCGAACGTTCCGATGCAGGAGTCTTGACCGCGGAGGTTTCGGCCGTGTTCTTGTCTGTAGGCTTTCCACCGCTGACAATATCTCTCACTCCCCCCACTGAAGTCCTAAAGCGACTGTATAGACCACTTAATCCACCTTGTAGCTCTTCGGATAACCCTTTTTCGTCAGACGTAGAGGATGGTACCGGCGGACTGCTGAATTCTTCGAACAGAGTGAGTGATTCGGACTGATATGCTGCACTGTGTATGTGATCGAGAGCTGCATTCGTCGATTCTCGCTCGGTCTGAGTCGTTGCCATCGAGCTGCGGGACCGACGTCGGCCGGGGGGAAGTGACATAGACGACGTCGACGGACTGCGTGAGCCTTGGGACTGCTGAGACTCCATGATGGTATGTCCAAAGGGTCGCAGAATGACAAGTTAGGCAGAAAGATCTCAGATCATCCCCACACAGGAGATGGGCACTGTTGACAGCCGGTCATTCGAGGCAAAAGCGCGATAGGATAAGTTGGAAGTGGATCGAGCGCTCAAGAGCGCTAAACCCCAAGGTCCGGGCGAGGAAAAGCTGTAGATGTCAAAAAGTTGTAGATCTTCTCTCCGCACTTGACCTCCAAGCTGTGAAATGACGTGGTGGAGCTGAGTCAGCTGGGGCGCGTTTCGCGTCTTATCGATTGGCAATTTTTGGTGTATCACCGCTGCTTCACGATGTGACTACATCAAATGCCAATTCTTGACTCTCAGCTATGACACAGCTCTACCTTCGTCACAAAACTGGATTCGCACGATGAATCCAGTTAGTCCCTGGCTGGCGGCGTTGGCCGAACAATGTCTCTTGTTTTACCTTGGCCGAAACAGTCAGGATGGAATCGAAGTGGAAGATCTTGAGGGTTGCCTCAGCTTCAGTGTGCGCGGGCTTGTCATGCCAGCGATAATTGACAAGGTACGGGCTCAGTCAATATCTCAGAGTCCCTTGCGACTAACATATCTGGTGTCTATTAGTGGGGACAGGGAGACGGTGATCGCGCAACGTTGACGGACTCCAAGAATCAAATCGATGCCATCTTCTCGCGCGATTCGCTAAACGAGCATGAAGCGAGCTCACCTTGCCCGCCTACAATCAAAGAAGGACCCAAAAAGCAACTAATTGAGCTTCTTGATGTGAGGTTGGCTCTTGTGTACTCGACAAGTTCCCCCGAGATCGAGCTTCGTGTCAACCGCTTTCGCATACGTTGGAATCAGGTCACTAAAGGGGAGCCTCCTAAACCGAAACTCAAGAAGACGCCGGCTATCAAAGTTCTATTGAAAGAGGCGTGTCAGAAAACGCAGAAAAGTTCCGTTGATGCTAGACCCAATGGCCAAGAAGATATTGCTTTGGCTGAGCCTTCAATCTCCCCGTTTGACCAACGGGCGTCGCCCGATTCTCAATTTGAGTCGATGGGATCGCAGTTCTTCTCTCAAGTTCTCTCCAATACCAACCACGACACACAGAGGAACAATAATAGAAGGAATCACGTTTCTCTCGATAAGGAGGCAATCCTTGGGCTCTTGAGACCTTCTGCTGGCCTGATTCATACTAGTACAGAAACCCCCAGCCTGCCTCTGGGTAGTAGCAACAGCACGCAGTCTGCCTTATCGGACGGAAAAACACCGATTGAATCAGGAGAACACTCCTCATACAGACCGTCGAGCACGCTCGCTGAAGCTGGATGCCCCGACATATCTGATGCCAATGCACCCCGTCCCAATGCCAGCCAGGATATCGTTGACCCGGCAGCCATTGAGACACAATCTGCGTCTTCTTCGATTGATCTAGTTGATCGCGACGAGACTGTGAATAGGGAAGAACAAAAAAAGGATGATGTCTCAAAGAAAAGGCAACGCGACAGCACAGATGCACATTCGCTGACATCTCCTGATGGCACAGATTCCCAAAGGCTGCGAAAGCCAGGTATTACGTCGCCATCGAACAAACGACAGCGTACTGATACTGGAGAAATGACTCAAATGGACCTGAATGAAATCAAAGAGATACGAAATGAGCCCGAGCCTGAGCCAGTGCTCTCCGAGTTACTGAATTTACCCACGCACCAACTGTTGCCAGATCCGTGGAATGTAATGACAAAGATATCGACGAGTGATGTCCATATCCCCAAAGAGCAAGCCGATCTCTTCGAGCCACTTGTGTGGATCCAACAGGGCTCTGGTGAATCTACGCCGATGTGTCATGTACCGCCCAGACTTTTAACGAGATGGAACGACATCGCTCAAAGAAGAAAATTATTGGCGAAGAAAGATCAGAGAGGTGGAAATCCGACGCCAAGCCCGCAAGATATCAACAGATCTGGATCTGTTGCTGAGTCGGAGACCAACAGTCAAATATCAGAACCTTTCTCTCACTGGTCTGCTTCCCCGGAAAGGACCCCCGGAAAGATCCTTCCGCCTAACAGCCCGTCTCCAAGGAAATCCAGGAACATAAGGGAGGGTGCAACGCCAAGCGGTACTCAATCCAGCGCCTATCAAACTGCAGAAGATGGTGACGTAGATATGGCGAATGGATCTCATACTACTTCTCAGCCTGCGCGGGAGGTTGTCCCTTCCCGAAGTATTCCTGATATTGTCGCGCATCGCGCGTCTCAGTATCCTGAGGACTCAACAATGATCTTGAAGGAAGCAGAATCTCGATATCAAAATCCTGGTGATGCCCCATCTCAAGAGCACAATCATTCCGATCCAAGCATTGAGATTGAGGAACAAACACCAAAACCAATACAGGAACCTCGGGATGGAATGCGCTCTGCATGCCCTCCAGCCACCCCAGAATCTCACCAGCCCGAGTCAAGTGGCGATGAAAGTGATGAGACCGAGATGGAGACATCCGTCCCTTGCGCTCTGGGGGCAAGTATTCCACCGAGCAGTCAGCCAGAACAGCAAATAGATAGTTCAGGTAACAGCTCGGGCCTATCACTTCCAAGATCCATTAGGAAAAGTGTACAAGTCGTCGAGACGCCTGCTGTCCAAACGACTCCTTCACAACGCGAGAAACAAGGCAACAAGACAGTTAAACCGGAGCATTCAAGCTCCCAGCAGCCATCATCCCAAGCAGCCAAGACATCCTCTCAATCTCGAATTCTCGCTACCTACCGCTTGCAAGAAAGCAACACGCAAAGTGACCCTTCTCAAGAGGCACTAAACCCATCTTTACCGATCGAAGATGAATCCCTTCGGGTGGACGTGCTAGGTACTCAGACTCAAGCCAGCAGCTCGCATCCGACATCGCAAGAGACCCCTCGGTCCCACACAGAAGTTGTGCTCGATTCGTCAAAAACCGTTCAGCGCCAGTGGGACTCGTCTCTGTTCAGCTCACAGCCCTCTGCCAACTCTTCCTCTTTCTCTTTTGCTAGCTTTCATCCGCAGCCCATGTCCCAACTCAATGGACCAAGCCAGAATTCTATGGGAGAACTGACCTCTCTCGATGGCGCGACGTACTTCCCAGACACGTCTCTGGGTGATTCATCGGGCTGGACCGCTCCTGATGCCGAATCCCCATCAAAGCCTCGCAAAATCCGACAAATTGAAGGCACTGATACCATGACGACGTTCCAAAGTCCAAATGGCGGGCTGGTGGCACGGCGTCAGAGCTTTATTGACAAGCCCGACCAGACCGCCCAAGCATTTATCTTTTACGAAAAATTCTGTAATGACTATCCGCCGTATTCTGGAGATTTTGCTCATTTCACCGAGATGTGCGCGAAGCTGCGGGCCCTTCGCGAAAAGGGTGCTCTGCAACGCTCCTTCCTGTGGGACGACTTTGTTATCTTACATCTCGAAGAGTATCAGCGTCACGTGGAAGATTGCGCGTCGCAAGATTTCAAGACATTGAAATACGAAGACTTCTTCTGCTCAAGCTTTGCAAGGCCCCGGCACAAGAAACGAAGCCTGACCACCCGCGCGGTCAATGTGGCTGCATCTCAGTTTGTTCCACCTGATACAACGACCTCATCAAGTCAGCCGCCCCCATGCCCAGTGGCTACCCAGGGCGAACGTGCACACCTTTCTTTCACGGCGAATCTCGTGGACAAATTATCAGACCTCCACACTCGTTCATCTAACAATGCCAGTGCCAATGATATTCCCAATAGTCCTAGCACCAACACAGACATACCCCTTGCAACACAACATTCGCCTTTACACCATTCGGGCACACTGCCTGCAGTGCAAGTCAAATTAGAACCGGATAGTTCCAGCAACGAAGTGTTGGACACTCAAGCTCATACAATGAGCAGCAGTGGGCAAAGGCCTGTACTTTCCAGCTCGGACCAGAATATGGATGATTCAACGCAGCATGATGAAGACGACACAAAGATCAAGCCTGATTTGAGCGAAATTGATATGACCGAAGCCGATGAATCTCAGGAGGCAGATCGCACCCACCACAGAACTGCCAGCATTGAACTTGGCGATGACACCGAGCACCGCCACAGTTCTCTAGTTTCTCCCCCGGCTTCAACGCAGGCTGTCGCCGAAGTCGCCGCTTCTACTGATGATGTCCAACAAGAGCCACCAAGGCCACGGCCCTGGTTCCGATCACTTAGGAATATCTTTCCTGCTGGCCCCGTATGGTCTGATGACCCCAACACGCCCTTTAAGCGCTGGGCTCGAGAAGACCAGAATGTTCTCCAGGAACTCAATCGTCGTGGCGGCGCGAAGATCCAACTCGATGACAAGGGTGTCATCTGCCGTCCTACCTACAAACGAGAGAAGGGCCCTGGATCATCGTGATTCCATATTAACTACTTTCTATTCTCCAACTGTATTATTCTTTTCCTTTTTCTTTTTGTCGACTCCGGCGCTGGTCAGTCGAATAGCTGATGGGGAGTATGCACACCGGCGGATACCATTTGATTTTATTGCTTCGCTCTACTGGAGAAGAACAAGGTGGCCCTAATATTGCTCAATGCGTTTTCGTGTACAATATCTTCGCGTGCCACAATCAGCCTTAGCCTCAGAACTATTGAACGTTGCCTGCAAACTACAAGCCATTTAACCTCATCAGTTGTAACCAACTCCAATATAACGTGGAAACTTCCAATAACGCAGACCATTCCAATATACGACTAAATATAACTGCACAACTAAGTAAACAGTCTATTTTCCACATCTGTGTTTCCCGGCTCCTTAAACCCCAGGACAAGGCTCAAGCAACGATGAAATTAGCGAAATGGAGATCGATGCTAATCAGATTTGAGTTCAATCCCAGCCCTGTGGAGCATGCAATCAAGAGGACATAAATTAAGGCTCGAGCCTTGTAGTTCTATAACATGTTTAGTATTGGCCCCGAGGCTTTCAGCTTCAAGGTTCGCAGGGGCCACTGTTCTGTGGCGCAATAGCGTTGAAGCTAGTGAGACCCACTGAGAATGGCGAGCCTCATGACTCGCGCGGTGGGAGTGGCGTTTTCGAGCTGGATGCTCAAGCGAAAGATTCCTGTTTTTGGCGGACTTGCATATGCTGGGCTTACTACGAGTGAGGCAGACGTGTGATATAATGTTTTATATTGGAGTCGCAAAATGCAGAAACTAATCATTCCTCCGTATGTAGAGGTCGAGAACAATGTACATAATGCAAGTTTATTCAGAGACTGTAGTCTTTCTGTGCAAGAAAAGGCATGATAATCATCAAAAAAGACCCATAGAAAATGGTCATAAAAGGCATGCAAAAAAAAAAATAAAAAACACGGTGAACGCCTTGGTATCGCCAGTCTAAAAACGCTTCAGAGTGTACATTCAAAAGGAACTCGTAGTCTTTTTGGTGCTTAGACGTGACGGAAAGGCTCGTATGCATTTTGCCGCTGGTTGGTCATGGGGATGTCGTTGTGGTGAGCGGGAGGAGGAGGGTAGGCAGTGTTGTGGCCCTGAGGAGCATAAGGCTGGCTACCGAAGGGAGGGTGGCCGGCCCCAATGGGCTCGTAGGTGTAGGGAGCCTTCTCGGCGGTGACGGAGCCGCGGGCGTTACCGCGGTTCTTGTGGCCGTAGGGGGAGCGGCCGGAGCAGCAGCAGGTGCTGAACATCCAGAAGATAGTACCGGCGAGAGAGAAGACCACGGCGAGCCAGGTTGCGGCGTAGATATTTGTGCCCATGGAGACTTTGACGCCGTAGGCCTTGGCCGCTGTGCCGAGGGAGCCCTTTGCGATGGAGAACATTATGGTCGATGTGAGCGAGGCTCCTAGAGTGAAGAGGAACGAGACAATCGAGACCATGGTGGTGACGCAGCTACCCCAGCGGCTGCAGATGGCGAAGATGCCGACCAGGATCTGAGCGCAGGTAGCGATGAAGGCGACCAGGTAGGCGATAAACATCCACTTGGAGACGGCCTTGTACACGCTCATGATCTTCTTGGCGTCAGTGCCGAGTGCGCTTCCAGCGTTGGTGTTCTCCAGGCCAAAGAGCGAAAGGGGGTCGAAGTAGAACTCGGCCTTGGGCTTTGAGCAGGAGGTGATGTTCGTCTTGCTGCCGGAGATGTCGCCCTCACAGTAACCCCAGAGACCAATGTCGTAGTAGTCGGCGAGACCCGATTCATTCTCAATGGTTTGAATGGCACTTGTGAGATCGTCCACAGTGACTGAGGTAATGCCAGCGTCGCGGAGGGCATTCTCAATCTCGGTCGTCGTTTGTGAGCTTGCGGTAATGTTTGAGATGTCAAGCTATAGAAGATAAGGGTTAGATGGGTCTAGGATCTCGAAAGCAGTAGATCACTTACGCGAAGGAAATATAGATTGTTCAAGGTACTTGAGCTGGCATTTGTGCAACCCAATCCCACCATGATAATGCAAATCAATGACGCGATGGTCAAGACGTAGGGCGTGAAGATACACGCCATGCGACCGGCTTTTCCCATGATGAAGTGGTGTGGGGGTGTTGAGAGGGGAAGATAGTATAGGGAGAAGTGAAGAGTGAGTGAGTTAAGATGAATGAATCTGGAGAAGGGGGGAGGGTAGTTTTTATCCTAACAGGATCATCGCAGCCTCGTAGACACACGGCACCAGCCTCCTTGAAAAGAGGCGCAGGGGTCAGCGGGCCAATCAGGGCTTGGCAGATCACGCCTCATGTCCACGTTTGCTTCTATTTGTGGCTACCACTAGGCTACTTTTGGATTAGTGGCAAGGCCCTTTAAACCTATCTATCCCTTCACAGTTAACAACATTATGGCTTTACTGTGTACAACATATGGAGTATATTCCGAGATCTTGTTTCTATCCCCCAAAGACATCACTCTCACAACATATCTCAATATATCGTTCAAACTCCATGTGTACCTGTGCCTGACCCAAATCTATCAAACAGTCCCATGGTTTGACGTAGGATCATCATTCCGGTGGCCAAAACAAGCGACTCCAAGCCTCGTCACCCCTTTCTACCCTGAACAGCCTTGTGGATCCCTTGATTATTATTATTATTATTTCCCCTACGCCTCGTAGCTGCGTAAGCCTAGTCTCGCTTTAATATCTTAGGCTTCTCCGTTTTGATCTTGGCACTCTGCCGTGTCCCAGAGCCTAAGTACCGCACATACCAATTCTTGGAACCCACTGGATCTATATTTATTTTTAAAGATAACCTTTTCTGGGGAGCCTTACGAACCTCTATACTGTCATGGTTCTAGCTGTTCGATTTTTCCAAAGCCACGCACATACGTACATGTAGATCACCAATTTGAACAGTCATCGGCTGACAATTTGTGCATGTCTGAACGCTGCTGCCAAGATTGATATGCCGTGGGCCTACCCTTCAAGGTAGAATCGCTGCGCTCTGATCAATTTATTATAGGCACTCCCTATATCGTATTGATACTATTGTCAATCCATGCAAGTGCATCTTGAAGCGTGCCTGATGACGTTTGTGAACATCATTATGTTGCTGTCTTATTTCCAGCGCAGCGGATCATTTAAAATGGTGGAAAGTTACACCACAATGTTTTACGCCACAAAGTTAAAAAGATAACAAAAAGAGTTTGACAACCCGGTTTAACAAATAACTTATCACTCAATAAATACTAATTCCCATTCGGCGATTAAAGACAATGTATCTTTATGAGAAGTATATTCCAATCTTATAAAATGAAATCAATCTCATCACACCAATGTCGAGGAAAAGGCGCAACGTATAAGCTGTAACGGATTGTTATTCTAGGTAGCTATAAAGTGTAAGTGTTGACTTAATACCTAACAACTGAATAGCTTATTACCTTGAGAGCCCGGATCTTCGTCTGATATATATGAAGACCAGACTTATTGAGATTCCAGGCCACAAAATGAGTCTCTTAAAGAATACTCTAGCGAACTAAGAAATCTTCTCGTGGATATCTCAAATAATCACCTCTTATCGCCATGTCGTCACTGAGGCTTATTCTTCACAATGAGCTTGAAATCTGCTATCTAGGTCGTGCTGTCGCTTTAATTACATTGTCTACATTTCTTAAGCTCAAGATATAAGAAGTTGAACACTGACAAGAAATTGGAATTGGAGTATATATTGTGGGGTATGTGGGGGAATTGTTCACCTCGATAATATTGGATCGCGAGGTACCTTAGCATCCGCCTACGTCATTGCTCCAGGATCACTGGACCTGTCGAACCGCGTGCCCCGCTCTTAAATTATCCAGCTCTGCTCTTTCATCTTTTTAATACACACATCCTTACACATAGACTCTGTTGATCATGAGTGATTTAACAGAGCAGGCTCTGTGTGACCATGAAGCAGACCGTCAAACTCGCGAGACCTATCGTTATTTCCAACCAGCAAATCCAGCAGCGCTAAATGCAACATGGCCCCCTGGCGAACATTTGACCACTACAGTCGGCCTATCGACAGCTACAAATTCTGCAAATTCAGCTGATTCTTTACTGGACGATGAGATCTCTGAGACGGCTTCGATTGATGCCAGCCCTCTATACAGCCCGAATACGACTTTAACATCTCTTGCACAGCTGGCAGCTCTACGCCTGAATGCACAACGGGCCTTTATCACGTAATTTTATCCCTTGTCTAGCAAGAACCTTGTGCTAACTTCTCAACTTCTCATTTTTAGTATCCTGAACCGCGACTCTCAGTTCGTATTGGCGGAAGCTACAAAAACGACCAACGTGGGAAGCTCGACATTGTTCGGTGAAAAAGGAGACAACCTTTTTGCTGGAACATCCACATTGACAAACACTTGGAATATTTGTCGGGTAAGACAAAACCTATGAACATTGCCATACCAGCCATCTTCTTGATACTGACCTATTTCTTCGAACAGGAAACAGTCAATATACAGTCACACGAACAACAAGATGGAACATATCCTTTTCTTATCGTCAGTGACCTTGAACGGGAGGATCGCTTCAGAGAGTTGCCTTTCGTACAAGGCGAGCCACGCTCCCGTTTCTATGCCGGAACGCCCCTAACAAGCGAGAGCAACATTAATTTGGGATGCTTGTTTATATTGGACCCTGAGCCCCGTGAGGGGCTGTCTGATATTGAGAAGGATATACTAGGGACAGTGGCAGCGATGGTCATGGACTTTTTACAGGTCAGCCGCCAGGCCGTTGAAGGGCGCCGTGCCTCCCGGTTATCACAGGGTCTCCGTCTTTTCGTGGACGGTAATTCCAGCTTCGCCGATAATGCTCCCCTTGCCCGCTCGCGCAGTTCAAACTACAGTCCGCCCTCGCATACATCGCCTTATCGTAGGGCAAGCCGATCTGCGAACTCTCAAAATAGTGGTTCCAATCTTCGCGCAGCACAATCCGA